TCCTAGAAGAGTTAATTGTGTAATATGACAATTTTGCATTTGATACTTATAAGAATAATTTGCCAGCAACCTTAAGTGTGCCAAATGCTGGTTCACTTGTCAACAATCCTTCATTCAGTAAGAGGCAGTCATGCCCAGAAGCAAGCAGCCCTCACCCTCAAGGCCTCTTCCTTTAGTACAGCCGTATCAGCAGTCTTCAGTAAAGAGATGAAGCTAGACTGCAGCTGGGACTGACATCAGGGTCGGGTAAGACCAAGAAAAACTGGATAAACAATGTATACTGCATTGAAACAGATGAGGGAGAGAACAGTTTAAAAGCGATATATGATAGGGTATTAGGGTTATCACAAAAGTCCAGAATGAAGCGGAGTGTACTCGGGGTGGGGGGATTGTATAGCAACGAAGGAATTTTTCTTTTACTTTCAAAGAGAAGAGCGAACTGGAGGGGAGAGGTAGGCAGAGAGAAAAGTGCAACACTTATGAATGGAAATCCAAAAATCTCTGTAAATGTTCATTAAAATTAATAAAATAAATTTTAAATACATATATATATTTAAAAAGAGAGATGAAGCTAGAACAGATTCCAGAAAATTATGCCACTTTATGTTCCCCAAAAGGCAATCTAGCCATCTTTTTTGTTGGATAGTAGAAAGTTTCAATTTCTGCCCTACTGTTCCTAAGGGAAGAACAAAGAACTTACACTTTAAATTCAGCTTTACAAAAAAGGTCTAGATACCCAGGACCAATATACCTCGTTTCGTTTATGCTAGACAACCTCCCTCGGGTTATTTTCTCTCTTAACCCTTTACAAACTTTCCGCTGCCTTTATTTCTCCCCAAGACTCAGTACTATCAAGCCAAAGAAAACGCCATGTGACAGGGACAATCTCTGGTCAAGGGTTATAAAAAACATGCAGCTGTATGATCTGACAGCACAACACAATTATCGTAAATCTTACTGAGAAGGAAGCCCATTCTCTGGTTTCCTATTTGTTGTCCTTGAAAGAACAAGCAATGTCAAGTCACAAAAACCTACACCATTTTGCTTCTCATTTCCCTACTGCTACAGTCCTATTATATGTACAACTTTATTTAGAAATATCTGATTTTACACCTTTTGTCACTCAATAACCCTACAACACAAGGGCTCCACATGAAATCTTTAAAATTGGCTGAGTAGACATTAAATACTCAAAAATCCAAATTATCTAGCCTGGTAGAGGTTAATGTTCTGCTTTAAGTAGGAACAGAAAGTATCAATTTTGTACTCCGATTTGCCTCCAAAGTACTCAGACACATACAAATATATGATAGATGAGGGTAATGAGGGTCCCAGTGACACCACAGTTACTGAGAAAGGTCTAAGAAATGAGCAAAGATAAGTGGGTCCTAAATTCCTTTCACCTCTGTGCAATTGTCTGACCTTCAACACTCCTTTTCAGTGTAGAGATGCCTGAGCAACAACTTTTTAATATTTCTAGTTTTCAGAGCTATGTAACCACCAGGGGCTAAGCTACTGAGCAGCTTATGGCAAGAACCCAAGTAACTGGAATTACCAGAAAAAAGAACGACAACAAGTGTTTTATCAACCTAGTATTTTCATTAACCTTGTCTTCTCTTACAAAGTGAGTTCACTCAGAAATATGGGAAATTCATCATATGCTTGAAGAGCTAGAATGAGTCTTAGAACTAAGGTTCCCTTTGACCCGACAGCTACGGGAGCAGGTCCAGAATATTGTCATTGACCAAGGTCGTGAAGCTCACTAGTGAGAGGCCCAGGACACCACGCTAAGACAGCATCATACTCTATATAGCCCTCAAAGAGCACGCTTGAAATAGCAGGTTTCTTAAGTCGGGGCAGTTATGTGTACTAGGGATTAAATCCAACTACTCTTAACAGAAAAGTATCCATCTCGTGCCTTGGCCATTACTGTAAAATAAGCACTGAGTGACTCCAACAAAGATATGCTAGGGATATGATTGTATGAAACACAATATGAATGGAGTGCAAAATGCAACATAAATAAATTTTGTATCCAAACCAATACAAAAAAAATTTTTAAATATTTAAAAATAAAAAATCTGGGGACCCTTGGGAAGCCCTGACAAGCATAACATGTCTTAATCATCAGTTCAAATGTATCATCCACTCTGCAGGAGAAAGCTGGGATGTCTCCTCCTGTAGACTTTGTCTCAGAAATCTGATGGGGCTTCACTGTGAGTTGGAATTGACTTAGCAGCAGAAAGTTTCGTTTTCTGAGAAGCAAAGAACTTGTCAGCATTTTAGTCAGATTTTCTCCTATTTGGATTTATGAATTATAGTAAATGAATCTTAGCAAAGTCTACTATGTGTTAAGATTGTTATTCACTTATTTTAAATAGTTCAGTGCATGCATTGTGTCAAAGTAAAAGTCAATCTTGGTTCACGATGACTCTGAAAAAGGATAGGGAAGGCTTGGGAGTCGGGAGAGGTCAATACAACATGAATTGTAGTTGTTAAAAGACTTTGAAACACAAGTTTAAGTATAGTATTGACTTTACTTATTATAACAATTAACTGGAAAATATTCATGTCTCAGGTACCATTAACTTATGATATAGGAAATTTCCAAAATGGCTTTTCTTTAAAAACAAACAAACAAAAACCCAACAAACACACACTTAGGACACAGAACTGGTAAATTTTCCTATCACATCAAGTGGCATTCATCATAATGTTATTAGCAACTTGTTTGGAAAGTCTCTTTAATAAAGAGCATAGTAAAATTAATAACAATGGTTTCATAAAGAAACAAATTATAAAAGTGAGAAATATTAAGTGGCAATTTTCTTTTATAATTTTTTTTACCTATATTCCACTTGCTTGATAAAAAAAAGAACAAAACAAGTATAAGCAAAGGCAAATATCAAAACGTTTATGACTTACAGCAGTAGACCTTAGATTACTAGTTCATCATCAAATAAAACAGAATTGGGTTCATCACAAGAAAGACATTTATCCTGCATATTTATTACTAAAATAATTGATGTCAGCCATGATTATGAGTGATATACTTATATCAAGCACAAGTTCCAATCAAAAACAAAGAGGGACAAAGAGAAAGAAATTGAAGCACTGGAATTGTTTCAACAGACAGACAAAGCAGCCATCTGTTGACATTACTGTTCTCTGAACCCAAAGGGCCAAAATCATGTGGTAGGGCAGGGAGCTTCACCCTAGTCCTGAAGTCCCACTTTGATGTCATAGGGCACTTCTGGAAGGAAGCTCTATAATGGCCAGTGCTAAGTATTTGCAGATTTCCTACTAGTCCTAACAGGAAGTCATTCCTGTGTCTCACCTGCATGAGTTCCTGTTATGTGGCCAGTTTGTTGGTGAGCTGAAATTCAGTTCCAGGGAGTGATGTCATCATGGTTGAGCTATGATCCTGGTGACCTGCTCCCCAACCTGGTGTTGTTGCAGCCCTTCAGCTTGAGTTCAGGTTATAAGAAAGGGGTCCAAAAAGGAAAAAGGGGAAGTAAAATAATAGAGAAAACAAAAAAGTGCTTGCACATTTCCTTTGTTTTACTAAAGCAATTTGTGCTTCCATATGAATTTGATGGGATGACCTGGACAATGGCACACAGAAGCTGTACAGATGTGCTTGAAGCAGGGGTAGATGCTCCCACAGATCTCAAAAATACAACAAGATTTAAAACATATAGAAAATTTTTGATTATTCTGGAAAAGAATGATTTTTTCTTTTTTAGACAAAGTTTTAAAAAATAAGTATTAAAAATTTAAAACTATTTTCTAAAGTATGAAAGAAAACAATAATATCACTCAGCAACACATGATTACAGAAAAAGTCCAGGACGACAGGTTCTAACTCAGAAATGGAAATAAATGGCAAATACAAATGTTTGAAGGTGAACGAGCACTCATGTTCTTTCGACATAATGGCAAATATATGAGAAGTTCCAGTCTGGAAATCCCGTCTGTAAGCAGTAAGATAAGACTGTCATTCAACTTCATTTAGGTGAGATTTTAACTCTTAGTATAGAAAGCCAAAAAGTAAAATGGAAGTCATGCCTTACAAGAGAAAACAGAGATTGATAATATTCCAAAAGGAAAGACACAGAAGTATTCAGTTTTTTTAAGAAAATCAAGCTATGAAGTAGAGATCTACTTTTTCCACCATATTTATTTCATGTCATGATTTCTTAATCCTTTTTAAGTTGATACAGTTTGGGGAAATAAGTATTTCCTCTTGTTCCATGTGTATCGTTAAGTGGAGTGGGAAGAATGGAATATGAGAGAAGAGGCAAGGGTGAAAGAAATGAAAAAAGAAAGACACAGAATGTTTACATGAATTTCATCTCTTACATAAGTAGTAGTACCAACCAAGTGCGTATAAAGTTAACAGCATAGTGTCTTCTTACATGAGCTTCCAAAAGGATGAAACAGTATAAAACCACACTGGAGACACATTAATTGAACAGCATCATGGTACAGCTCTCCTATCAGGCATGTGCATATTCTTTTTTCTCATTTGTTAAGCTTCACAGATGGCATTATTCACAAAGCACTTTTAGTATATTATTAAGCAAATATCAATTTGATCATATAAATAAGTCTTAGCAGAAAACATTGTTAGCTGCCATGTAAAAGTCCTTCTTTCACGTTACACAATTCTTCTACATTTAGAACTTCACATGAGAAGAGTATCTTCAAGGGCATTCCTTTTGCAGTTGAGTTCATGACCAACCTGCAAAATTAACTGCAGATGAACTAAAGATCACACCTTGGTTCCAGGGCTGTGGGGAGCAGCTCTGTGCCATTATAGATCAGCTGATGTCTTCTCCAGGTGCTAACTGTAAAAACATTTTTTCCCTCCTACTTCCTTAAATGTCTTTATTCAAGTCACTTGATGCCCCATAAATGATTATACGGCAGAGGTGCCTCTGCTGAAGATGCTTTCACAGAAGAGATGAGAATGTGTGCCGTTATCTCTGGCTTTGTGTTCATCTCATCAGTTCTGCCCAATCCACAGGAGTAAAAAAGGGATGCGATTTGATGTCTTCAACACCAGCAACTCCAGCACCAAGCCGCTCCATAGGGTTGAACTGCAGCAGCTAAAAAAGGGAGAATTTGGTGAGTCACAGGGATCTATCCAATTGGCAAATCAATCAAGAAAAAAAATCCAGAAATATAGGAAGGAAAATATGTAAATTTAAGTCCTGTGACAAATGGACCAGATTAATTAGTGGACTAAAATGAAAAAAATTTGATCCAATAAGTAAAACATGTGACCTCTTTAGAAATAAGTATAATTAATACATTAACAAGATTATAAAGTAAAGAGAAGCAGTCATATTCAATTACAGCAGACACTGGACAGGCTGAAGGAATATATCCTGAGAAAGGTATGGCACTTCCAATTTTTTTAACAGCTTTATTAAAATGCAAAGGTTGGTTTTTGTCAACTTGATATGGCTGTGGGTTTAGTCAAACACTAGTCTAAAATAATTACCTAACTTGGGAGGGCCTGGAGAGCATTATGCTGAGTGAACTAACTCAGTCCCACAAGGACAAATACTGTATAAAACCATTATTGTAGAATGAGCATAAGGATCCAGGAGGGGTGGGAGAGGCTGGAAGCAGAGGGATGAGGATGTGCAGGGGGAGGGGAGTTTAATCATGAGATTGTACAATTTGATGGGAGGGAGAGGGAAACTGGAAGAGTCTATTCTGAAAAACAATGTATTCAAATTTTGTAAACAAACTAGTACAATTAAAAAAATACGATTGTGTTTAACTGGCACGTGTGTGTTTCATATAATGACTTACTATCGATCAATGCTCCCCCCCCCCAAAAAAAGGATGCATGCTTCCCCATCAGGAAACCAAACCCTGGTTTCTTACAGGACAGGTGGGGATACTCACCAGTATACTAACAAGGATGGCTGAGCAATGCCCTTTACCACCGTTTCATCAAGTCTCCACTTTCTACCTTGCCTATTCCTTCACTTGCCCATCCAAAGTGTCAAGTTTACAAATCTCTGCTGCCCTAGTGGTTGTTTTCTCTCCCTCAGATGTTTAACTTTTTAAGACAGTGGCCTTTAAATTCCTACCCTCACTGTATAAGGGTCCCACACTCTGTATTTTTACA